CACGAACAACCAATATCAAAATCCTATCACCTTGAATGTTAAAAGCAGTTTTTCTTCTGCAAAATTAAGGTAACTTGTTAATATGACTGGCTTCCAGTGTAGCCTGCTAAAATTATCAAGACTTCTTTTTCCTAGTTCACTTTTCATCTGTCTGAACGGTTTTATTTTTCCTGCTATCCCTTTTTTTATACACTGGTTTTGTTAGTTGCTCAGGGTGCCTGTATTGTCATTTAAACAAGTTAAAATATGCTAATTCAAATAGCTCCATCAACTGACAGGAGCACATTTGTGTAAAGAGGCTATGCAGACAGATGTTAGTTTTGAGCTTTGCTTATGAAATTCAAATGGGAAAAGAACAGGATAGTAAAAGAACAGCAAGTTTGAATTTTAGAGCATTCCATATATCTCTGAAATTGCTATGTAGTGCACATCAAAGCAGTAATTTGGATTTCTCTTCTTTATAACTGTGGTCTCGTATGGAAAAGAAGAGCCTATTGAAAAGGTTGCAAGTTCGGTTGTTAATAACTTTTCTAAAGTTGTAAAATTGTCATGAAACCTGTGTGCTTTATTAAGGGAAGCAGAGAATAACTAGAGATTCTGCTGAGTTCAAGCATTATCAAAGTGCAGTGGACTGCCTGTGTTGAGTAAAAGATCTGCTTGAACAAAAGAACTTTGGCCAAGGAAAGACTGCAAAGAATTGGCACCCAGCTAATGCTATTGTGTATGAATTCTCAAAGAGCTATGACTTGATGAGCAGAAAATGTTTTCTCCTTGTATTAAGTTCCAAATGTTTAGCCACCCTGGAGATACGAGCTGAAATTTGTTACTAAAATAAATTTTCTCTATCTAGCCTGTTGGTTTACAGATGGTCAATAAATACACGAGTGTATATATATAATGGATATATGCTTTGGTGACATGAAGATTTTTAAGTTGCTTGGTTTTTCTTCTTTTGGTTCTCTTATGTGAAATGGAAAAGTCTGTTCACTCAAGTGCACTTTGACTCTCTTGGGACCTCGGTATGGAAAAGGAAAGTTTTTTCCTCATGACCTAATTCAGTAGGTAGCAAACTGCTCCTGACTAATGGTGGACCAGTGTAGATACTTAGAGGAGGTTACATTGTTCCAGGATTGGGAAACATCCCTATGGCAAAACTGCTGCTGTGGTAGGTGTGCCTACCCAAGAGTGTGGGGGCGATGAAATGGCAGTATCTCTCCTCTCCTCTAGAGTGTCAGTGTGTCACAAAATTAGGTCTGCATATGTTGTCCAGACAGTGTAATAAATTCTTGCTATGGGTGGTGGCATGGCTCCTGCTACAGTGGAATGTCAAAGTCCTTCCGGTCACTGTGGCAGAGCATCCATCAACTGCAGCCTTGGCATTATCTGAGTGGAGCAGATAGAGGCTGGTCTCTAGTCCTCTGACTTGTGCTCTCACAACACGTGTTGCTTTGCCATGTCATTTTGCCTCAAGAAACATTGTGCCACGTGGAATAGTTACAACAACATACATGCTATGTCAGAGACTACTTTTTAAAGCGTTAATTAAGGAAATGTTCTTTTTCTCCCATTGACACAGTGTATACCTTTCTTTCCCTGCACTCTGAAGGTGCTGTGGGAGAGCAGTAATTGTGGCAAGTGCTGTAAGAACCTGGTGAGAAAGTTGGAGTTTGATTCCTAAAGGAGCAGAGTCGTCCTTAAAACCTCTTAAACTGATAGATGTCTATCAAAGACAATATCCCCACCACATATGCTAAGCTGTGTGCTTTCTGTTAATAAGTACATATTAAGAATTTACAGGTCTTGACAGTTAAAAGGTGTTTGAAGTCTGAAAGAGGTATTTAAATGAAAAGGAGCAGGCAGTGGGCTAGCAAACATCAGCACTTCTTTACATTCTTAGCTTTCATGCTTAATGTTCAAAAAGTGATGGAGAGACTTGGTTTATTTGTACAGCAAAAAGTGTGTCTAAAGGCACCTTCTTTGAGAAACATTTTTTTCTCTACAGAGATATATAAGTGCAAGTGTTGTTTAGCCTGGTAGATTCTTAGGGGAAAGATTTGAACTGAATGACAGATTGTTGATACCACCCTTGAGTTATCACAAGACATAGAAATATGTTAGGGAAAAGTGTACACTGATCAGAGAATAAAAGCCTTTTTTTTTTTTTTTGAAAGACTTCTCTGCAATGACTAGCAGGTTTGTGAAAGGTTTGGTAAGAATTCAGTATGTCTTGTTAAAGAACAATTTCTCAGTTCTTCCCAATACTTTCTGAATACTCTCTAGTAAAAATAAGCAAGACATTGATTTTGATATTCACGTTATCCTAGACCTAATATATCTGTCTTTATACAAAGCAAAAGCTATTTGCTTAAAAATCCATTTTGGTTACCTCCTGAGAAAACTAATGCCTCTTGCATCCTGGGAACAATAGTGAGAAAATCAAGGTGTTAAAATCAGCCTGCAATCATTTAATGTTCTCTCTCGTGCTTGCAATTCTGAGAGCCAGAAACTTGGGCAAAACCTGATTTTATACACATGGATTATCATGCTGTGTGACTTTTCAAAATTTTTTTTTTTGTTTTGTTTTCATTATTCCCTAATGCTTGCAAATATTTCAGATTTGGTCATTGTTTTTTCTTCTTTTAGTTAAGCATGTAGAAAATATTTCTGACAATTTCAGAGTACATGTGCTAGGTTGTCTCTGTACAAGTTATCCTTTTCTTGATAAACTTGAATGTTGTAAACGTTGTTCAACTGTATTGGAAAGAGTGGTGAAAAGATACTACCATTTGCTCAGGACACTTTTGAATGTTATTTGTGTTGTAGCACTGTTTAGAGTCCTGGTTCTATTGTGCCAAAGATTGAATGGTCTTAACAGGTTATTTCTATGCCATGAACTTAGAAAAGGGCTTATTCCCAGTAGGATTTACATATCTGAGTGTGAGCATTAGCTGTGGTCATATGGTAGACACATTCTTATGTGGTTATCTCTTGCTGTGGCCTTTTGGCCAAAACCAGACTTTTTTTTTGTACCCAGCAAACTTTATTAGATACCTGGCTTTTATGGATTATGTCTCAGAAATTGAATGGACTTCAAGATATTGTAATGTCCCAGGTTATATGTCATATGGAAAAGATAGCTCAAGCTTTTCAGTCTTCAGCATTGAAGTACATGGGATCTCATGCTTCTTGCTGAGCTTACTAAAGTGCGGATCTAGAGCTGGTACAGTAGTCAGGCAATGCAGGGAACCACATCTAGTGTCTAATCTTAGTGTGGTTGATGCAGACCACTCCTGAAACCTTCAGTTTACACATGTTCAGTTTGGTTTAGAATTGTGATATTGTAATGTTTATTTCCAAGAGGATCTTACAGCTCAGAGGCAGGCAACAGTTTGGAAATGTCATGGTATTTGTTCAAATTAATTGTGATTGTGACTGTCATCTCATGATGTTGTTATCCCAGTTTCTGAGATAAGTTTCCAGTGTAGAAGTATGGAAGAAAATGGATGTAAAAACTGATTGCTTTTTCAGTTGTGCTTTGAATATTTTTTTTTTAAGGGAACTTTTACTTGAATGATTTGGTAAAATCTTGTCAAAACTTTAAAAACTATGTTAAGGTGTTGGCTTTAGTAAATCTGGTTTGTGATGAAAGGCAGTTTGTAATGTTGAATAAGCAAGGTGTTGGATGTTGGTGGGTGTAGGTACTTGATAGTTTTCAAAGACATTATCTTCTTTTAAAAAAGATGCGACTGGTAGAGCTTAAAGCAAGCCCCACTGTATTTAAGATGGCAGTTTCTTATAAAATATTCCACAGAAACACTGACATTATCTGAATTTAAGACTCTAAGCAGTTTTTAATGTATGCAAAACAAATGTCTGTAGTTGGCTTTGATTATTAATACTTGTTTTGAGTCTTATATACCACCTTATTTTGAGTTTATCACTAGCTATATATTTATATAGTTTATCCCCTCAGGTTTGTGACTGTGTCACTTTCCTCTTGTAGTGTCATAATACTTTGTGAGAACTTCATGGCACATGGTGTGTATTTTTTTAAGCATAATTAGTTAAGATGGGTTTTTAGGTAGAGATTCTATTTATTTTACAAATGAAGATAGATGTAGAATGTATTTTGGCATAATGTGTGTGTGACTTCTCAGCGTTTTGGTTTTTTTTTTCTTTAAAACTAAAGACAGTGGCTTTCTTATTGATACTGACAATTTGTTTGCTGCTGTTTCTCATGCAATACTGAGCATATTTCTCATACAGTATTCTTGCTTGGATGTATGAACTTTGCAGTAACACAGATTGATATCTGCAGTTTCAAGTGAGTTGAAGATACTTGTCTGCATTTGTGTTCTGTAGGCTAAAGTAATGCATTCCCTGTCCTGCAGGAAGGTGATAGAGGGGGAGCATTAAATGATCAGTCTGGAAAACCTGATTTCACATAAGCATCTTATCAGAAAAATTAAAAAGCTTTTTGTGATCAGCTAGGCCTTGTGGATATCAACTTTCTAGCACAGAATTCTTTTGTCAGCTGGAGGAAGAAGAGTCTCCAATGGGAGAGATTTTTTTGGAAGTATGTCAGTTGCTGTTCTGGCAACTGCATGATGTTTTCATTTAGACTGTTCTCATGCTCTTACTGGCAGTAGGCTGTAGCAGCTGGGATGGCAGCATGTTTGCTTTCTTGTGACATGGTTTAGGCTTCTTTTTCAGGCTTATCTGTTTAAGACAATAATTGTGTAGTAATTTTTTCCCCCCGTATTTGAATGGCTTTTTGCCATTATACAGTGAAGAAAATGGCAGTGGAATGATAGGAAGTGCTAGTACTGGCTTCCCTTCTGGTTTTGGAAGTCAGAGTTGTTGCTGCATGCCTGAATGCTATTATTTGCCCCAGTACAATGATCAAGCACTTGATTCTTTTCTTCCACAGAATCACAGAATATCCTGAGTTGGAAGGGAGGAAACAAAGCTTCCCCAGGTCTGCCAGTGAACAGCAGTGCTTTCCAGTTACTGCAATGATATTAGAATGGATAGAACTACTGGTGAGATGGGAATTGTTCCAATTGTACTCTTTGAATAGAAGCATAGCATGGTATGGGCTACATTCCTCCTGTTTCTTTGAGTGCCAGCATGCATAAATGTGTGGTTTTCATTTGTCCTGTTAACCTGAAGATTAATCCCCTCAGTACTTTAGGCTAGTATAGTCTATCTCACATGCAGCATTGTGTAGTTTTTCTACTTAATTCTGCCTGTTTTTCTAGAAGTGCAGTTCTAGCTCTTATACCCGTTCAAATAAGAGAAGTGACTTTAACATGCCCTTCCCTCTTATTCCCTTGAGGACTGAATATGTACAGCAGAAATTTTGTTGCTTCTATTCGCCCAGTTTCTGTGCTGTGCTCCTGGGTTTGTATTTGAATCTCTAGCAGCTTTGCTCTTCATATCATAGTTGAAAATTAAGTACTGTGTAAATAAATTGCTTGTTTTTCCATGCAAGAAGGGAAAGCTGCTGATACTGACGTGGTATATTCCTGCCATGCAATGAAGAATATAGTGTAAGAAGTATTCTTGGGAGATCTACCATTTAACCAAGAGCTTAAAAAGACAAAGTTAGATGGACCCTTAATTATTTGCCACTAATTAGAACTCTTATGATATTAGATTAGGAATTAAATGATTGTATACTGGTAGAATATGAAAAGAAAGTTCAGTATTTCAGTAAATAACTTAAACTAGGAACTGGCTGTTTCTATTTTGATGCCCAAACCCAGTGTTTCTGTGAAGGAAGAAGGGCTACAGGAATCCAGTAATTTAAATACTATCTGGCACACACTGACATTTTACTTGTGTTCTGCAACAGAAAAGGGAGAGATAGTCATACAGGCTGCTACTTTGTTTTAAAGGCTTAGTAGTTGTTGTACATAATTTTCATCAGTTGCCAATAATGCATCTTGTGTAAGAGAAGGAAGAAATGGGTTGAAGATAAACTGCAGGTCATAAAAAAGAAGAAAGGTATTTTAAAGATATGTAGCCTTTTACTTCCCTTTTGTCTATTTCAGAAAATCAACACAAGTCCTAAGAGAAAAAATGTGTTTTCACTAATCTTACTGTTAGTATAAAACCATGCCTGTGTTATCTGCACTCTGCATGAGAGTCAAATCCAGTTGAACTGAAGAAAATCTGGGGAGAACACCATGCTGCAGAGTTTTTCTTCCTTCGCTGATGTTCATTTGTACTATTGGCAGCAATATATAATTTTATTAATTGATTAAATTCTCTTAGCTTTGAGTTTTACAAAACAATAAATAGTCTCCGTGCTAAGAATAGCAAAGCAGTTTCAGACTGAGCTGTTCAGTATACCTATTGACCAAGTTTGCTTGCAGACAAAAGCAATTATTTTCTATTCTGACTAAACATGAGTGGAAAGCTGTTCTCTTCAAGTCTGTTTGATTGTTTGGGCTCTTGTATCCCTCTGCATGACCATTAGGTCACTTCTTGACAATACGACTGATTTATTTCTTTTTCAGTCACGTTTGGATTTTAATGATGACAATTGGGGTTTTCTCAGACTGTCAGCTGCCTTCAGATTTGCATTAGCAGAGAAGGAGGCTTCTAGAAATGGAAACCACGTCTGTCCCGGTACTATGGTGTCTTTTTTGTCAGCTCTGAAGCATGGCATATATAGAGAGAAATTATATATGCTGTGTATGGGTGTTCAAATCTAAGCAAAGATACGCTAGTCATGGTGTATGATCCTAGGACTCATTGTAACCATCACTGTGACTCCAACTATTGAAATATTTGGTTTAGGTTGCCTTAAAAGGTAAGAGTACACGTCCCCTTTTTGCATTGATGGCTCTTAGAGAACTCGTAACTTTTGGCTGGCAGTGCATCAGATTCTGGAGCATGGATTGCCTGTGGCCTCCACTGCATTCAGTGTCTTTGTGTGGTACAAACCTGTTGGCACTGAGCTTGTTTTTCAGTCTTCCTTTCTGCTTGGGCCATCACTCCTGCTAGTAATAGGCCCTGGTTCTAGGACTGTCAATGCTTATCTTAATGTTGTACTTCAGCTTATTTCCAAAGAAATCAGAAGGTGTTTTGAGGGATGATCTGCAGTTACAAAAGGGAAGTTAAACTGACAATGCAAGTTTTTTTTGCTGGGGTTGGGTACCTACAGATTTTAGCTTGTTTGCTATTTTTGCAATGTGTTTTTTAAACTCTGCTTCAGTGGTATGCTTGGACTGTTGATTGAGAGAAGCTGTTTGAGAGAAGGCTCTATTTTGCACCTGCCTTTTTAGAGATACACCAATTCTGAATGTGTTGCATGTTCAGCATCCCTCACTGTCCACCTTGGTTTCCTAAAGCAAAACCTTTCTTGTCATGTTACTGTAGAAGAAATTGGAATGGAGATTTCTACTATTGCAACAAGAAATAACAGGGCCTGTTTTCCCAAAATATTTTTACCATTTGATGTAAGCATGCCATTTTACTTTATAAACTGTCTGCTTGAGTGAAAGTGGAAAGTATTATGTCTTATAAATAAAGGCTAATTTAATCTACTTGTGATATTTTTGCCATTGTACTGTTTACAATTTAAGACTTCCTTGATATGCTGGAGTTTGTTTCTTTTTGGGAATAGCAAAGCATCACATTGCTTTTTTAAAATCACCATTTACCCACGGCTACAGTTTGAAGCATGAGTGCTGTTGGAGCCTTCAATTCTCTACATAAGGCTGCAGACCAACACCTTATTTTCTTTATCTTGGGTTATTAGACAGTTGTTCTTGAACATGTGTTCCAAACCAGAGAAATGTTGACCTGAAATGTCACAGGGATAAGGACTGCAATAATTTCCTCTGTAAAGGACTGAGGAAATAGAATAAAACCCATGCGTACAGATCATTTGTGTTTTACTTTTGTCTGTTGGAGCAAATGCACTGTTACTGAACTATCTCATGGTATAATACCACAACCATATGGCCAAGATTAATGCATAAGTGGACTTAATTAAAAATGTGACAGTCCTTTCTTTTTTTTTCCTCCTTTCTGCTCACCTCAGTGTGCAGTGCTAAGTAAGGGGAATGAAATCTTAGTATACACAATTGTTTTCCTTGACAGTTAAAGAAAATGATAACGTTTGGGAGATCAAGTAGCTCTTGGTAGCTCTTGATGGAGCATGTTTTTTGGTACAACACAGTCTTTCTTTTGCAGAGCCTGAACAGCATCTTCCACATACAGTTGTCACGATAAACAAATGTAGCATTTGTAGCCAAATGCTTGAAATTTAAGTAGGGTTTAACAGGCTTTCTTTGAATCATTATACAGAAGTTATGCAGAGACTACCAAACTTAAAATTAATCTTTATTTTCAACATGATACTGAAAAACATTCAGTTCTGAGTTCAGATGATTAGTTTGTTCCTGTACCAAGCTGCATCATTGGCTCTGCTCCAGGAAGGGAGCTTTGATTAAGTTGATAAAGATTGCTGAGTAGGTTTTTCTCCTGTGCTGATTGGCTTGCTTTTCTTGCATCAGATAACTGTGTTGTCCCTTTGACTTGTCCCTTTCCTCCTGATATTAGGCTACTGCAACTAAAGTACCTGTGTAGATCCTGTTGTAGTTCCCTTTCTTGCCTGTTGATGTTTTTGGCCCCTAGTGCAGACTAGTACCCTCTGAGGGGGGAGTTAAAAAAACTCTGTAATAAAACAACAATAATTTTGCCCCCCTCTTGTTTAGAGTGACTCAAATCAGTGTGACAGGGGAAATTCAGAAACAAAAGAAAATAACATGATTATTTTCCTGCTGGTGAGAAGGTGTGACACAATGCTATGCTGATGGTAACCAGAACCCAAGGAATATAATGGTCTTAAAACCCCCCCAGTTATTCTGTGCGAGAATGTGTTTGGTGGGTGGTAGAAGGGTGGATGGCAGAGCTTCAGTTTGCTGCATCAGGCAATTTGATATTTCAAACTGATCTTGGGTATGAATTTTTTTCAAAGATTTTGAATAAAGGTTAACTTAAAGTTGGCTTCACAAGGACATTTTGAGAAAGAGTTTCTGTCAGATCTGGATTTTCATTGTGGGTTTTCTTTTTCTGAAGAAATCTGCTGCAGTAGCAATCTTAGAGTCTGTGTGTTTGTGTGGCATGGCATATCTCCAAAGGCTTGGGGATTTGTTTTTGAAGAGTGATGATGTAGCTATTTCTTTTAGTTGCATTCAAAATCAACCGTCTTTGTTCTGTGCATTCTAAGATATTTGTTCCATGAAATAGATATAACCCTCAGTATTTTTCTTTGAAAATTCCCTTGCCTTGGTGACACTGCCAGTTGCTTGGCTTGAAGGACTGACTTTCAAACCTATGAGTCTGTATGCAGTGAGAGAGATATAAAAATTAACATTTCTGCTTTTCACATCTGAGATGTGCTCATATTGATGGGTACTGATGACAGGAGTACAATATATGAGCTGCAGGGAAATATGCTTTATTGGTGCAGGTGATCAACACGTATGTATGGGTAGAAATTACAACAATACAGAAATCCCCTCAAATTCAGCCTTTGAGGCTGCATGCCAAGAGCTAGATTCAGAAGTTGAAACATTGTTGTAAGTAGTTCAGACTGATTTCTGGAATTTAAAATCTAATTTTAACATTTTTGATTGTAAGCTATATGTTACTGTATTTTGGTGAAGCCATATTTTTCTGACATAAGAAAAAAGCAATCCATTCGATGGCTATTTTTTTAACAGGAACACACAGAAATTCTTGTCTGTCATTGCTCCCTCTGACCACATGACTGCTTGTAAGGGTTTTTTGTTACACTAACCATGTGACTGCTTGTAAGGAGTTTTTTTGTCAATTTAGTGTGGTTTTCCAGTGGAAAGGTTAAATTTTTCATGCAGTCTTTCTTTCCCATTGCCATAATGATAGTATTGCCAAGCTCTTGAGTAGCTTGCTTTCTGATCAGAAAGCAAGTCTTGCGAAGTACTTACCTGTGAATGGGTGAATGAGTTGTCTCAATTTGTGCAGAAAGCAAGTAAACTGATGG